GGTGGCTCCCTGGAGACTCTCAGCAGACATTATTAGCCTGTGGCTCTTTATCTAGAGATGGAATCTTGCAAGATTACAGCTGGTGTTGTCATTGTGCAGGTTTTATTTACACTGCCTTATTGTTGAGAGTTTATGGCTAAAACTTTCCTGCCATATGTAGAAAACACAACCTCACATCATATTCATCTGCCTATTGGTATCTCCCCTCCCTTTCCTCCATTATGTTCCCTGAAATTTACATTTAGGTGTGATGTTGTAGATGCATCAGTTGGTGCTGGGCATCCAACAATCAGTTCTCTGGATTTTGACCATTTGGGATTTCTGTAATGGTTTGCATCTGCTGCAAAAAGAGGCTTCATTGTTGAGGAGGAGAACTACATCTTAAGCAATTTTTAAAATGTTCACAAGTAACATTTTTTTTCTTTTTTTTCTGTCTCCTCTAACTATGTTTTCCCAATCACCATGTTACCTGTGTGTTTTTGGTCTCCTCACACACTCTCTCTCTCTCTCTCTCTCTCTCTCTCTCTCTCTCTCTCTCTCTGTCTGTCTCTGTTTCTCTCTGTCTCTCTCTCTCTTTCTCTATTTATCTCTCTCTCTGTGTGTGTGTGTGTGTGTGTGTGTGTGTATGTCTGTTTTCTTCCTGAGTTCCTTGCAATTTTTAAGATCTATGTATTTACAGATCTTTTAAAAGAAAACTAAAATATTTTTAAACATTGTGCTTTTAAATACTTTGTATGTCCTTGTTCCATTTTATGGAACTCTAGTCACTCCAGTGTCATCCATATGGCAGTTCCCACATATCTACCATGCTTTGTTTGTGCTCATTGGGTCTCTGTTCCCTGAGCTTTAGTTCTTTCCTATGAATGTGTCTTTGTCTAATATGTTTTTAATCCTGTTGATTAAGTTCAGTATTTGGTATGTTTTCCTGTTCTAAGACATTTGATTTGAATACTTTCCACCTACCATTGCTTTCCTGTATCACAGACTTTCCTACAGATGTGTGTGCATGTTTAAATTTACTAATTTAATTCACTTAATTCACTAGTTCTACTATATCTGAGATTCTTTAATCTCATTTTATTCCTGATGCCTCCCTAATTATTATAAGTCAATTTTGTGGTGGTCACACCCTCATCAAGTTTTCAGTTGGGTGGTGAACATGACTAACATAGCATGGATTAGTGACTGTTACATTTTCTTTATTACCAAGTCTACACTTCATTTTGCTAAAGAGTTAATTTATGTCATGATCAGCTGCACATGTTGAGACTGTTTTTAAAGTTTTGTCAGAGTTGACTCAGTTTGCTTTGATATGAGGTCTGCTAAATATTTTATTATTATTTATTTGGCCACCTGTCTTTTTAGATTCTCTATATTCAAAAGCAACTGACCTTGGAATTACCTACAATTTGTAATTTGCTCCATACTCATTTGAACTGAAAAGTTTAAAAGTCCTTAGGTTCTTGGCAGTTGTTCTTTTCCCAGTTTTGGAGAGCCACACCCTATTTATTTGAAGCTGAATATTCAGCTTTAAGGTCTAAGGTCCCCTGTGAATGCTTTAGAAGTTTTTCTTCTTGTTGTAATTCACTAGTCTCCAGTGCTCCATAAAACAGATGCTAACTGTCTTAGCCAGTGTGATCTCCATTTGTTCTGCCTCCCCCTCTCCATGAAGCCATCCCACTCTGTGCCCTGTATAAGATCAACCTCCCAGTGAGCAGTCTGGTAAATATCTTCAGGAAGACACGAAAATAATCATAGAGATTATACCAGCTTTGTTTTCCACCCTCAGTCATCAAAAGTTTGAAGACTGTTTCTCCACACACTGTCTAGTGAGAAGCAGAGAAGGTCCACTGATTGCCAGAAGCAAGATTTTCAAAAATATATTTTTAAGTTAATGCAGTTAAAAGAAAAAAGGTCAAGAAACACAATATGTAAAAGCTCCTGGTTCTGAATGAAATGACTCTTAAGCCAATAAATTGGGTGGATTTGCATGTATATGCATATGCCATTTTTTAGGAAATTTTGAAAGCCAAGACATGAATAGAATATGAATATAATATCCCATAAACCCCAAGGGGAGTTTTAAGGCATTTTTATTAAAGATTTTCAGGAACCATAAATTGATAATTGTAATCTGAGATATAAGCATGGAAGTGGAAAAATACTGATCCATGTACAACATTAGACAAAATATTTCTCAAAATATTTAATGTAATTTACAAAAAATATAAGCAAATGCTAAACCTTATAAACGTATCCCTTAATAGATTTCCTTTTTTCCCAAAAGCTTTAACATTGTCCAAGGTTTGTCCATTTGTTGGTTGTAATGGACATTGGCAATGTTTGAGATATTTCTAACAATATATTTTGCTATCAGTAAGGATTAACAATTAAACATTGATCTCATAAAACTGAGAGTGTGTATGCCTTTTTAGCTTTCCTTTATGATATTTTATGATAAGAACTATTTTGTAGAGAAGATTGACGCAGTAAATTTCAAACGTTCATAAGCTGACCTGAACAAGGGAGAGCTCTTGGCCCAGACTGATAGCTGGGAAGCCAGCATGGAACTGCTCCAGACCCCACAGATGTGGGTGTCAGTGAGGAAACCTCAGAAATCTATACAGCCCCTTTTAGTACATCAGTACTTATTTCTAGCTTAGGAATGGACTTTGGGAGCCTATCCCACATAGAGGGATACTCCCTGAGCCTTCTAGCGAGGCTCAGTATGGGCCTAAGCCATATCCCAAAGGATATGACAGACTCAGAAGACCCCCTATGGAAGTCCTCACTCTCCCTGGGGAGTAGAAAGGGTATGGGATAGGTAGGGTGTTAGTTTGGGGGGCAGAGGAGGAGGGGAGGGAAAGGGAGTTGGAATTGACATGTAAAACAATCTTGTTTCTAATTCAAATTCAAAAATTCAAAAAAAAACTTTCATAAACTTGTTACCTATATTGATGGGAGTACATACAAGCAGCAGAGCAACTTTTGGTGGAGATAGAAGAGATATTTGAAACTCTTTTGACTTCAGTAGCAACAAGGCAAGTGACTTAGAATTTGTATAAGAGTAGGAAGATACATTGAATGCTTTTAACAAAATAAGGTCAAGAGCATATCCATCAGTAGTGTTGTTCACACTCATTTTCTACTTCATCATTTTATAGCTCTTCGAGATGCTAGCAAACAGTCGATAAACAGTGACTGGAAGATAGAACATTCTGGAACATTCAATCTAGCTGGAACTACAGTCCATTACATAAGACGAGGCCTGTGGGAGAAGATCTCTGCCAAAGGTCCTACAACCACACCTTTACATCTCCTGGTAAGAGGAAGAAATTCTAGTGTTGCAGAAAGCTTCTCATGGCAAAGTCATTGCTGATCACTTCCCTTTCCCCCTCCCTTCTTCACTTTTTCCTCTTCCCCCCTTGTCCTCTCCCCCTGTTGTTGAAATCAGAATAGTCAGATCAGCTTTTAAAAATGTTTAAGAAATACAATATTTGAAGGAACTCTAAAATACTTTAAATCATGGTATCTAAAAATAGTAGTCATTAAAAGTAAAGCAAACTGTTCTAGGGAATTAAAAAACTGACAGTGGAAATCAATCACCACCAAGAAATAAGGACATCTTTCCCCCTAAAAGCATCATTGCTAACCAGAATGGATATTCATCAAGACAAAGCCATAGCATGGGAGTACAGCAAGCAAAGTCCACTTAATGGGGCTCATCTGTGTCTGCAGAATGTACCTTTGATAACACATTGTTTTGAGAAGAAGGATTTGGTAAACGTATCTTAAGAGAACTCTCAGCTTCCTTACTGTGTTTCTCACTAGGCAAATGGATTAGTCTAAACTCTGAACACTACACAATTTCATATATTGGAACTGTGATGTTGTTCACCATGTAGCAAAAGCCTAAATGTGCATTAGGAGAGAATTGAAAGGGAAAGGACTAGAGTAGTGGGGTTGGGTCTGGGTTTCTGGGTTGTTCATGGGCTTTTTGTCAAGGCACTGAGAGCTAATGATTATGTATTCAGATGAGTGACTGTACAGATAGAGTGAGTTTTTATTCAATTGGCAAAAAGAAGTCTAAAATTCAAAGACCTCAACACCTCTCTGCACACCCATGCACAGAAAAGCACTCGAACACAATGGATTCTCTTGTTTTAGTGAGGTGTGTCACATTATTTAACATTTTCACAGCAGTTGAACTGGTCTTTATCTACCAACATCTCTATTGCTTCAGATCACACATTGGCTCATTGTTCATCTTATCTCGATGGACCTATTATTTGGGGCTCTTTTTAGATGTGTCTTCTGATGCACCTGGTTTAGGTCAGAACCTGAGACCTACTTATTTTCCACAACTCCTTTCTGACATCACTGCTGCTGGTTCAGAAACTGTGATTTGAATTTCCCGGCTTCATATATCTGCAGTCGGTTTGCTTTAACAGGAATAAAAAGGCCAAAATGAGCTCTGTGTGTGTGCTTTCTGTTCAGCATAAATAATGCATTCACTGGGTACTATGGATAGGAAGCTGACCAGGGGACTTTGCATTTGATCGAAGAATTTAATACACACAATTACCCTGTGTAACAAAGTTAAACAATATGTGCAATGTTGTCAAACATGATTTCATTTTCACTAAGATTTAGTGCTTAGATCTGTCTCTTCTGTGTAAATCTTGGCTTGTAAATGTATATTGTCTCCTTACAGTTCCTTTGCATCCTATTTGATAATTTCAGTTAGAAGATGGTCTCTGTCCTATGCTGTCTAGAGAAACAAACAAAAAATATCTAAATCATAGGGAAAATACTTCTTTGACTAAATGCTATGCAATAACATCAATAGCAAGCTTTTTTTAATGATGATATTAAAAAACACTATTGGCCTGCGTTCTATAACCACATATATGAATTTTAACCTACTTAAGAACAAGACTGAGACATGTAACACCCTTTGTTTACAGTCTGAAAACAGCACATGCCAGACCCCAGAGTCAGAGACTTTTCTTACAGCAGCAGAGCCTTTAATCTGACTAGTAATGCCAAGGCTTTTCCTGGAATCATGGATCATAATTAGATCAGTGAACTAGGTCCAAAAGAAGGTATGTGTGTGACCTGGGTTTATTTGGTAATCCAAAGGAAACAGTAATTCTGAGATACTTCTCCTTAATGACTATTGCAGATTGAAAACTGGTACTGACTTGAAAGACGATGTCTTCTGCTGCCATGCCTCAATATGTGCCCTTGACGGTAGCATGCTCACACTTTCCTGTTGCAAAGGATTCTACCAAAGTCAAATGGTTTATGAAAGAGCCCCGTGGTCCTGTGGTCAATCACTCAATTTTGAATGGTATTAGATGTTCAATGCAGTTTGAACTTCTATCATTGAAAAGGTGGCTCATGGGAAAACAGGACTATTTTCATGTAATTAAATAGGGTGGCAAATAGCTGTTATTGGTAATGGTTATTTTTTCCAAATTTAAAGTTACATGATAGTATTGCCACAACAATAAAAAAATGCAAACTTTCACTCTTTTTTATTAGGTTGAAAGTAACTTATAATTGGCCACATCTAATGAAATATTTAAGTCAAAATCAGAACTGTGATGTAATGTCCAGTAGGTTTCAGATTTGAAAACGTAAAAAACTACTAATTATATCATTGAAATATGTTTATAAAATCAATACACTAGCTGCACAAGTCACACATCAAATATGTTGTGACACTTCTATCAATATGTTGGACAAAACCTGAGAGAAAGTAAGGAAGTTTATTTGAAATATCCATACTTAATCTTAAGTGACTTTGAAAGTTGTATTAATTCTGAATCACACATAATTATAACTATTCTAGACAATGATTAAATATTCAATATGCCTCTCCAAACACATAATTTAAAAATATTGGTAGAAATTAATGTACCAACTGTTTGCACAGATTGTCAGATCCATAGACATGGCATATTTCATATGGTTATTTAAAATATTTCATGAAAAATTTTTTCTAAAACATACACATTCATTCTCCTTTGTTTAAAATATGTGCAAAGACACATAAATGTTTTATATATAATGTATGTATATTATACATGTATTATTTTGGTATAAAATCCATGATGATCCCATTCTGACCTTGACATTGGATACCAGTGAAAACCAAAATGGCACAGTGTGGACTCAAAGTCATGCCCATTGACCCATTATAGTTTACTAAACTCTTTTGCATAACTGTGCTGTTATTATTCTAATCTTGATTTAAATCCATTTAAATATACATATTGCCAAAATTGTAAACATCCAGGGAACAAAAATACCATCCTTCTAATGATTCAGAAGTTCACTACCATTATTAGCGGTTATCTTCAGTCTCCATCTTTACCCTGTCTTAGATAGGGTTTCTATTCCTGTCATAAAACATTGTGAACAAAAGCAGCATGTGTAAGAAATGGTTTAATTCAGGTTACAACTCTCAGGTTACACTCTGTTGCTGAGGGAAGTCATGGTAGGAACTGAAGACAGGAACTTGGAGATGGGAATTGAAGTTGAGGCCATGGAGGAGTGTTGCTTACTGTCTGGTCCTCCTAGCTTGCTCAGCCTGCTTTCCTACATAACAAAGGAGCACCTCTCAGGGTGCCACCACCCACAGTAGGCTGGGCCCTCCCATATCCATGGTCAATCTAGAAAGCCCTATAGGCTTGCCTGCAGACCATTCTGGTGCAGATATTCTCTCAACTGAGGGTCTGTCTTCTCAAATGACTCTAGCTATATCAAGTTGGCACAAAACTGGGAAACACACCCCATATTGACTAAGTAACTTTCTTTCTTTTCTTTCCATAAGTGTTGGAAATCCCCAGTTTATTTTATAACTTAACATCAGAGGCTGCACATATCTCTGCTCCTAGAACACATAAACACACCAAAATGGCATCATATACATATATCATGCTTTGGGAAATGGTCTGCCAAATCAACAGAAAATGATCAGGTATTCCTGGCTGCATTCAAGTGAGCTTTCATCATGATGCATTTAGCTTACAGGTGATTCTCCAGTCTTTGAAAAAAATCCGACATTTTAAAACTAATGTCTGCTGTGAATTAAAGGTATATATGTTCATTGTGCTATTAGTATTTTTGAGTGTCAATATATTTGTAGATCCCCTCATTGGATGTGCTCTGGGTTAAATAGTATTCCTTATTACTCTATATGCCACAGGTACTGCTGTTTCAGGATCAGAGCTATGGTCTTCACTATGAATATACAGTTCCATCAGACCCACTTCCAGACAACCAGAGCTCTAAGGACCCAGAACCCCTCTTCATGTGGACCCATGCAGGCTGGGAGGATTGCAACGCCACATGTGGAGGAGGTGATGAATTTTAAAACTTCTGTCTTTTCAAAACCTCAAACAGTTGTTTTCTGATTAACCACTGATAATTACAATAGACCTGAAATATCCAATTTACATTCTAGAACCCATAAAGGTTTGTAAACTTTGTTCTTACTATGTGTGTACTGGAGGAACATCTGAACTATTTCAAGGGAAAAAAAAATCTTAAACTGAAAAGGTTACTCACCTTTGTTCCATTTTGCGCCATAAAACTGGTTGTTATATTTATTAAATAAAGAGTAATGTGTTTAATTGTAGCATACCAGGTTCCAGACACACCATTCAGGCGGTGATGTACATTCTATCACTACTAGCATCTCATTAAAAACTTTCAGCAAAGTAGCCAGAAGAAGTCAGAGAGTCAACACCTTTCACTGTAGACTCAACTAATAGAAAATATCTTGCAGTAATTCTACCAAAGCAAATGAAAGACTTGTATGATAAAAAAAATAAAACACTGAAGAAGGAAATTGAAGAAGGTTTCAGAATACGGAACAATTCCTCCTACGCTCATGGATTGGTAGGATTAATATATGTATATGATCAAAATATATTACATTCATGTATAAAAATTCCAAATCTACCATATGAAAAGGGGGAAAGGAAAATAATTGAAGTCAGGAACACTAATTCAATCCATGTCATGGAAAGAAGAGACAAGAAAATGTGGCAGTAACTGTAGGGGATGAAATTCAAAGGACTTCTTTTCATTGTTGGTTCCAACGAGACACATTACATACCATTGTTTGTCAATATGCATTGATGAAGAGAGATCGAGAAATTGCTGGAACACTATCCAGATGGAACAGGGAGGAATGAAATGAGTAATTGTGTTGGCTTTACAAAACTGTAGACAGCCTATCACTAGACACAAGAAAACAACTATTTTTGGGAACATACAATAGTTCATTTTCAGCTATGTCCATTTTCCCCACAAAAGCCACTTTGCTGAGAGTGAGGGTGACAAGGGATATCGAGGAGCTTTGAAAAGAGGAATAGGAAGTGACTGCTTAGAAAAAGACAGGAAGAATGGGATTGTTATAAATTGCCTGGGTAGGGATATTTATTTAGGTCAGATTGCAAATCATGGGTCGTCAAGAAGTTTATCAAGGGCTACTCTTGGGCATATTTCATAGCTCTCAACATCTAACAGCAGCCAGTGGCTGGAAGGAGGTAGGAACAGCAACAGTAGATTCTCTTATGAAGGCCTTGGTGGTAGCACTTTTTACTCCTCCAGTGTGGTGGTTTGAAGGACAAGTCACCCATAAGTCTCAGGCATTTGAATGCATGGTCTCCATTTCGTGCTGAAGAAATGTCACCAGGGACAACTTTCAGTCTTTAAAAATCACATTCATTCCCAGTTAGATCCCTCTGCCTCCTGGTTGCAGTTCAGGATATGTGCTCTCAGCTGCTGCTACAGCCACCTACTACCTGTTCCCTCCACCCAACCATCATGGATTCTAACCCTCTGATACCATAAGCACCAAATAAACTCATCTATAAGTTTCCCTGGTCATAATGTTTTGTCAAAGCAACAGAAAAGTAAACAATACAACTAGTAAGTGCCAACTCCTCCATCATGTCCAGTGCTCAGTGTTATAGCATGTGAGCCTGAACTAGTAGACATTTTGCCCTAAAGACTTAGCAGTTCCCTGGAACTCTTTTAGTGACCAGGACTTGCAGGTTCTCTTCTATGGCTTCTTATATCCTTCTATCCTTCAGCCACCTTTTTACATCCCCTCTATTTCCACTGTCTCTCTTGTTCTTGCTGTGGCTGCTCTCTCAAACTATTCAACTGCTGCTTGTTATAGCTGCTGTCATTACCTGCCATGTAGGAGACCACTACTTCAGGTCCTTCCCTACTGGTGCTATTGCTGCTGCTGTTGGCTGACAGTCTTGAGACCTCTAATTGCAGCTGTCACTACTTCTAGATAGTCTTGTGCTTTTGTGGGTTGGTATGTTAATTGCTTGTCTGTCATTGCTGGGTCTTTCTTGATCTTTTGTATTAGAAGTGGGCAAGAGCTCACCATTCAAGATAATCTTTCTGATTGGGGATGTGCTTCTGTGTGTTTGTCTTACTGGATGATAAGTAAAATACTGTTTGGCCAATGAGGCAGCAAGTTAGGCAGGACTAGGAGTCAAAGAGGATTCTGGGAAATGTAGCAGAGAAATGATGTTCCAGGCAGGAAGTGACATAGCAAGGAGACTCATATTTAAAAAGGAGAAACAGGCACCTGCTCCAGCTGTGCCATGTGAGCCACCAGCAAGAGAGGGTGTCAGTGAAAGGCATCCTGTATAAGTCTCATAAAATATATAGATTTATGATAATTAAGACTGAGCTTGAGAAATCCTAGTCATTGGCCAAGCAGCTTTGAACCTAATACAAGTTTCTGTGTATTCATTTAGGCCCTAACTCGGGTGGGCGGCTGGCATAAAGCCCACACATGGCAGTGGAGCTCGGTGGCTTTTGGCAGAAAGATTTATCGTAACATCTTTCTATTAGGACTAATGTTGCAATGCCACAAGGGGCCTCATCAGAGAGTGTTTCACACCCATCTCTCAAGGGAGCTGAACAATTCTCTATAAAAAGAATTGGTGTTTTCCTCAACCACAGAAGACTCTCGTGCAAATGAAGATTTCTTTTTACTCCAATCATGACATTATCCTTTCTTCAGTGACAGCAGTCCCTCCACTAAGCCAGTAGGGAAATGGCCCTTCTAAATGGCTTAGGGTGACCTAGAGCTCAGTAAGCCTGGTGATATCGAAAAGTCAGTATAAAGTGTTTCAAACAGTCCTTGATGGACTTCACATTAGGTGAGCAAAATAGTTAAGGTCATTGTGTTTCTTTAAGGTCTTCATAATATGTTCAAAATATCCATGCTGGCATCAGAGTATTCTGGATGGCGGAGAGCTAGAACTTTTCTCAAAGATGGAAAGTAGAGTGATCAGATTTCATAATGTTAGGGACTCAGGTTGCCCTATTCACCAGTGTCTTTACTCATTTACTGGAAAATGAGCATCAAAAGGGGTCACTTACAATGAGAATTTAAATTATCATTGACACTGAGTGATTTTAACTGAGTTTATTAGTGCTTTAGTGATGCTTAACATTTGGCCAGTGTCCCAGGGAGAGGCTAGTCCTTTCATCTGCTTCATAATGGGAACATGTATTTTGGTCTGTAGTAGCACTAATGGTCCAGTTGAATTCCAGGTCATGAATTTATCATGACTTCAGTCCCTGTGATGGTGCAGAACCTTCTGGCTGTGTACAGTTTACAAATACTCTTAGAGAACAAAATTGGGAGTAGGCAAGTGAATATCATAAAGTAAGAAATAAGTAAGTGATGGCATGAGACTGTGTGTGTTGAATGCAAATGGTTGTATGGAGAGGAAATTAAGGATGCTCCCACTTGAAGGAAATTGAAGAGATGATAAAGTTGGTTATAGGACCTGTTTGGATTTTATTAATTGCCAGATTCCATGCACTAACAAGATGGGAACATAAGAGATGATGGAAAATATAGAAAAGGTTATGGAAGTTACAAACAAGACTTAATGGGATGACAAAGGGATTATTGTCACCATCTAAGGGAAAAATCAAGATTGTTGGGAAGAAAAGAGGACAAGGAGCTTAGAATGTGATGCTGGGAAAATCATTCAAGTATTATAATACTAGGATTTTTTTTAGAAGTGTCAAAAGCAAAACCCTGGGAGCCAACATCCACAAGCAATGAAAAGAATGACCCAGAGGGTGTCATTTGACTATGTGAAGAGTGAGGCTATAGTAGTAAAAAACAGAGATTTGGGAAAGACAACTTGAACAGCGTCTTGTTGAAAATTCTAAAGCCAACACCCATATTATCTAGATCTAAAGTGTACTGATTATAAACAAGAAAATGTTTCTGTCATCGAAGGAAGCATGAAGAACAAGAACAAAACACAGTATGTTAAGAAAGCACAGAGGCTCAGAGAGCATCCAAAGGCACAGAGAGCAAGAGACACACAGGGATTCCATGCCCTTGCCCTTGCCCTCTGGGTCCTTCACAGCAAAAGCAACACAGGACAGGCAGGGGGAGATTTTACATAATACAAATTACTCTGAAGGTGAACTCCAACAAACAATTCCAGATCTTGAATTCCATCCACTGCTTGAATGGAAATTTCTCAGCTGTCATCAATGCCATGGGAATGTTTTCTTTCTTGCTGGGCCCCACTGTCACCATCCCTCAGTTACCCAGTTCTAGCCTGGCATCTCATCTCCACCCAAGTCTGCAAGTCTCTATTCCTCTTTTTGTCACTTCTTCACAGGACCATCTCCATTGAGGGATTCTGCTCCCATCCAGCAGACTGTGTGTGTGAAAGCACCAACAGAGGCAAACAGCCCCAAATGAAAATGTGCACTTGCAAATTGTCTTTAATAGAAATTTGGGTATCCAATCATGCCTGCAGTCTGCGTTCCAGCAGCTATCCCATGGTGGTGGTAGGGGATGAAATGGGAAACAATAAAGCAACTGAAAATCCACCTCATAGCTGAGAAATCAGTCCTTAAAACCTAATTACATATAACAATATAGACAGGAAAGGACTTACCCATTGTCAGATAAAGGGAACCTTCCTTTTGATTGTTTGTCAAGGAGACCCCCCTAAACAATATGTACTATTTTTGTTGCCCTTGCTTGCCTCACAATATTTGAAGGCAAACTCCTATTGCTGAAGTCACCACACACTTTAGACACAAGACTTAGAGAATTCAAGCTGTAGATGATCTGGAAGCCTTTTCCTGGGGCCTGGTTCTTATAATTTTGAAAGGTGATGCGCAGCTGCCCAAGGGAGAAAACAAATGTTAATTCAATGACTATTGTGCCAAGATTACCCCAGTGGGTAATAGTGGCACTTTTATCATAGCCAACAATTGACTTATTGAATAGAGCTCCTGTTCAATGAGAATAAGTCCATTCCTGGTACTGGAAACATAGCCAGTTATCCCCAATGAAGTCACAGATTTTAGAGAAAAATCTGTTATTGCCATTTTCCTAAACTGATATTATTTTGATTTGCATTCTAAGTAATATCCTTAGGCCCATAGGTAAACATGGCTTGTAAAAAAAAAAAAAAAAAAAAAAAAAAAAAAAAAAAAAAACTTCCCTGATAAAGAGGAGGATGATCAATGATCTACAACTGGTCAAAATGTAAAGAGGAGGTTCTAATGAGTAATATCCCTCACAGGCTCACACATTTGTACACTGGGTTTTGATTAGTGGAATTGTCTGGGGATATTATGGAACCTTTAGATAGATCCTTGCTGGGGGAAGTGTGTAACTAGTCATAGGCTTTGAGAGTGTATAGCCTTGCTGCCCTTTAGTTCATACTTTGCTTTATATTTGTGATGGAAGATGTGATGCCTTAGCTTCCCACTGCAGCACTGTGCTTACTGCTTATTGCCGTACTTCCTTACCATAAAGGACTGTTATTCTTCTGGTACTACAAACCAAAACAAACACTTTCACGATAATTTGTTTTGGGTCAGAGTATTTTATTACAATAGAATAGTAACTAGTGAAGAAGGTAATTGTGGGATGGTCAACCCTAGTTGAAACATCTGTAATGTAACCCCACATCTAAAGCACAGAGAACATCCTGGAAGAGTTGTAAGAATTTAAGTTGGAGAACCAGGATGCCAACTGTGAGGTCCTGTCTTCTGGACATGACATAGGACCTGCATCCTTGAAATCTCAACAATACCATTGCCTAACAAAGTATTGTGTAATAATAACACCAACTGATGTCACAATGTAAATGGAAGAAATCCCATCCCAAGATGAAGATCTACAAGCAAAAAGTTGCTTCTCAGAGAGAGAAAATCAGTTTTCTCTAGGAAAAATCCCCTGATGGGTTATCCAATCTAATATATATATTTATTCAATCATAAAAATGCACACACACACATGTATGTATATATGTAACAATATTTATTTAGAAGAAATCATGAATTTGAGAAGTGGGAAAGAACTTGAGGGAAGTTGGAAGGGGAAAGAAGGGTGGAAATAATATAAATAAAGTACTCATGGATAAAACTCAAAAAAACTTAAATAAAGATGTTTTAAAGATATTGATACCAGACCTCTTTTTAAACTGTTTTAAGTTTTGGTAATCCTTTGCTCTATGTCGAAAATCCATATATGAGTGAGTAAATACAATTTTTGTCTTTTTGTGACTCACTCAGGATGGTTTCTTCTAGTGCCATCCATTTGCCTGCAAATTTCAAGATTCCATTGTTTTGTTTTGTTTTGTTTTGTTTTGTTTTTGCTGAGTAGTACTCCATTGTGTAAATGTACCACATTTTCTCTATCCATTCTTCTGTTGAGGGGCACCTAGGTTGCTTCCAGGTTCTGGCTATTACAAATAATGAACATGACTGAACAGATGTCCTTGTTGTATGAATGTGCATCTTTTGGGTTTATGCCTAAGAGTGAAATTGCTGGATCTTGTGGTAGACTGATTCCAGTTTTCCTGAGGAATCACTATACTGACTTCCAAAGTGGCTGTACAAGTTTGCACTCCCACCAGCAGTGGAGGAGTGTTCCCCTTTCTCCACATCCTCTCCAGCATAAACTGTCATTGGTGGTTTTGATTTTAACCATTATAACAGGAGTAAGATGATATCTCAGAGTTTTTTTGATTTGCATTTCCCTGATGGTTAAGGATATTGAGCACTTTCTTATGTGTGTTTCAGCCATTTTAGAGTCCTCTATTGAGAATTGTCTTCTTAGCTCTTTCTCCCCACTTTTTAATTGGATTATTTGGTGTTTTGGTGACTAGCTTCTGGAGTTCTTTGTATGTTTTTGAAATCATCCCTCTGTCAGATGGGGGGTTGGGAAAATCTTTTCCCATTTTATGGGCTGCCATTTTGTTTTGCTGATTGTGTCCTTTGCCTTACAGAAGCTTCTCAGTTTCAGGAGGTCCCATTTATTAATTGTTGATCTCAGTGTTTGTGCTACAGGTGTTGTATTCAGAAAGCAGTCTCCTGTACCAATTTGTTCCAGGGTACCACCTACCTTCTCTTCTAAGAGGTTCAGTGTGGCTTGATTTATGCTGAGGTCTTTGATCCATTTGGACTTAAATTTTATGTATGTCAATAGATATGGATCTATCTGCAGCTTTTTACATGACAACATCCAGTTGTGCCAGCACCATTTGTTGAAGATGCTTTCTTTTTTCCATTGTACAATTTTAGCTTCCTTGTCAAAAATCAGGTGTTGGTAGGTGTGTGGGTCCATATCAGGGTTTTCCATTCAATTCCATTGGTCTACGTGTGTATTTTTGTGCCAATGCCAAGCTGTTTTCAAGTTTTGTTTGTTTTCATTTTATGTGTGTGGTTATTCTGCCTGAACATCTGTCTGTGCACCACATGAAGGCCTGGTACCCACAGAGACCAGAAGAGGCCATCAGATCCCCTGAAACTGTAATTACAGATGAGCTGTCATATGAGTCCTGGGAGTCAAACCCCAGGTCCTCTGCAAGAATGTCAGTGCTTTTTACCATTGAACCTTCTCTCCAAGCGAATTCCTTTTATTTCCAAACAGTTTAAAATGTACCTGTGGAATAAATAATTGCTTTAGAATTCTGAAACATCTGAAAATATTTGAAAGAACAGATTACATTTATTTTGATAAACCAGTTTTTTACAAAGTTCTATTTTTATATCAAAGAGCCATTTTGAGTGACAAGCACAACAGAGGCATTAAAAATTGTGCCATCCTGTCATATTTGAAGGTTGTGTGTGGAGCAGCAGCAACCATATTCCCTCAGCATTACATGAGTAGGCAGGTTGAAGGAGGAAAGTTTTGAATGGACATGGGGAGAGGCTTTTTGAAAAAGAAAAAAAAAAGAATTTTGTTATCAATATTCATTTTAGTCCTTAAAATACATAGCCTGAGGAAAACAGTAAGTCAAGGAAGAGGGGGTGAAAAGCATGTAAGAGGTAGGATACCCCACATCCTTCTGGTCATTCCACCCACATAACTTGCAGCTGCTGGTCTTCATCTCTAAATTCAGGGTGCAAGGAAGTAACAAAGCCTTTGGCTCCAAACTGGAGTTGAGCTCTTGGCATTCAGATGCTTGTGCCTTTGAAATATTTTAGGATATATTTGACAGAAAATGATGTTTTAGGGATACCAATGTCTTGATTTTCAGTTTTGAAGTTACTATTGTATGTGGGTTCCAAGATATATGTCATTAGCCAAAGAAGATTCACTAATATATAATTACCATTTTTCTTTAAGTATTTTCTTTAGTAGTAAAATTTGATTTTGTTTTCTATATTACTTGATGTAATAGGAACATATTTATGTTAAAGTTTTTTATGATATAAGCTCTTTACAAGCTTGATTTTTAATGCCAACATGATTATTCATGAACCAGGTTTGCCATAAATTACTATTCCTTTTGTTTGCAAATGACATTTTCATTATTTAATGAATCCAAAAATCAAGATAATACTCTGGTTTTTAACATTTGTTGCTGATCACGCTAAATAATAAATTAAATCTATCATCAAATATCTTACTTGGATACTATATATAAGAATTATACTGAGAGAAAAAGAAATTAGAACACATTTACTATACTTTAAAATTGATGTCAATATTATCAACAGAATGGTATATGTGCCTCTAAGAAAAATGAACACAAAATTCAAATAGATTTTATTATGAAAAAGTTTTAAGCATAATAGGATCATGGTTTTATCAAAGAAAAGTGACAGTCATTTCTAGAATTCTTAGGGCTTTTGTTAGAAGCGCTAAGGATGAAGCTATAAGGTCCACTCAAAAAGTGTATTATGTGTAGGTCCCAACAGAGCATTGGTAATGTACACACTAGCAATGAAATGTGTACATGTACGTGTTTATGTGCTTTGGGGAATTCTTATCTTGGAGAACAGTCTCAGAATATTCTAGACACAAGGCATTCAACTACTTAATGCTAAAAGATGGCCAGATCCTTAAAATAAATCTTCATTCAACATCTTGTTAACTTGACCTACCACCATCACTTTGTAACATAGGAACTGCCATTTACCTTTGAAGAAAAAGCCCTTAAGCCTAGAGGTGCATTTTGTTATGTAACAAATAGTATCTTATTCATTAGTATAATCTAAAATTGCTTTAAACTATATGAAAATCCCCATTTCACAAAAGCCTGTAATGACATCACATTATGTGTCCATCTGCTCTTTGCAGGAGAGAGGAAGACAACAGTGTCATGCACAAAAATCATGAGCAAGAATATCAGTATTGTGGACAATAAGAAATGCAAGTACTTAACTAAGCCGGAGCCACAAATTCGAAAGTGCAATGAACAACCTTGTCAAACACGGTAACCGGATTCCAGAAGTCATTGCAAGGCTTCGATTTACACCTAACTCAGTGATTATTAAAATCACTGCTTCTTCAGGGCATTCCAAAGAAATATGTACCAAAGTGTGAGCATTGAAATAAGCAAGAGCTGAGAGAATAGCAGTAAGATGTATGTCTAACTTCTTCAGGGTCTGATGACAAACCCATAAATAAGAAAGAAGGGTCACTTATTTATTATTTATTTATTTTTGGTTTTTCCGAGACAGGGTTCCTCTGTGGCTTTGGAGACTGTCCTGGAACTAGCTCTTGTAGACAGGCTGGTCTTGAACTCACAGAGATCTGCCTGCCTCTGCTTCCCAAGTGCTGGAATTAAAGATGTGTGCCACCACCACCTGATGAGCGGTCACATCTTAAGTTTAAGAAGAAAGTATGAGTCACCTCTTTGGGTTTATTGCCATTTATTTGAGTCTAGCTGTTTGCTTTTCAGAATTCTCTGAGATGAGATGTTAGAATATGACAGGAAAAGGTTAACCACAGCAAGACTGGGCAGACCTAACCCCAGAAAAACAATGAGGGCATGGGTTCCTTCAGGCTCTAGCATTCAGGTCCTCACTCATACAAAAGTTCTCAAGATCAACTGCCCAGTTCCTGATATCTGGTCTCGAAATTTGTAGGCTGGTCTATGGTTTTCTCAGTGAATGCTGGACAAGAGAGTCATGGCTCATGTATAAGGAGCAAAGTAGCAATGCTAACAGCTGCAAGGTTAGAAGAAGGTCCCTGCCTGTGGAAGCAGAGGTGGAAACGTATAGAAATGTATGAACCTGGGTATAATTTTGCTGTGTGGGTACATGGCACGGCTTCCAGAGTGGCACGTGAAAATTCACATGCTTTCCCATAGAAATGAGTGGCATGTTTAAGTAAGACAGTCCAATGTCACAAGCCCTATCGTGTTTAGAGATGATGGTCTGATAAAGAGGATGAGTATGCATTGATTCCACTAGAGTGGTGAAAGATTGCTTACTTAATCTGACACTCAGGATTGTTGAGACTTGGTGCACTAGGCTGAGTTAAGTTCTCAGAAAGTCAGAGAATTGATCTCACTTCACAACAGCTTTTGCAATTGAATTATGCAAAGAATGTACAGCATTGTAGCCCCGTACAGCTAATCTTCACTGTAACTTTCTACCACAAAAGGAAAGCATGGGGGAGGTCGTCTATGTGATTGGAGGAGCAAAACTGCCAGTTAAACTAAATGCACTTTTGTACCTATCTCTTTGGAAATTGGTGTTACCTAGGTAGATGTTCACTTCTGGATTTTGCTTCCATTCCCTTGACATGCTGAAATCTCCCTTCCCCCACTGTATTGCAAAACAAATTTATTAAGCCCTACTGAGTGAGTTTATTCCATGTTTGAAAACTTAAAATGTTTGGGGAATCTTTTCTTCCTTTACAGTGTTGAGGTTTCAAGCCTTATTTTTTTTTGCTGTGAATTCTGTGTTCTTAAGTTATTGAAATCAATCCAGTTCCTAATTTTTCCTTCTCCACTGACAGTGCTGACCCCCACATAGGTTGCACACCTCTAACAGAATAAGGGGATGATTTGAAAATGATTCACAGAAGGAAGAATATTAATATGCACTTTAACTTGGTGGGTCAGTTAGCCACCCCAGAATAGCTATATAAAAGGACCTTTATGATCCTAAATTCCATGCCTTCTGTGTAGTGCAATCTATTCCAAATCTATCCACTCCATTGTGCCTAGGATGCGAGCCATCCATTTGTCTCACATATTTGTGCCATCAATATTGTCATATAGTCACTATGAAGTTGTCTGAATTATCAGATGGACTGTCTGTCACTGTGTTCATATTTACAAGGTAGCTTTATGCCGTTTCACAGTGCCTTGGGATTCTCCTCCCTCCATCTCAACACATAGGTGTGTGGCTCTTCCACACTGCAAGGCTATGAGACTATTCCTAACATAGAACCTGGTTTCTTCCTGAAGTTAAAGTAGATGGTTAAGCTAAAGTCCTTGTGGTACACCTCCAGTCATTAGAAGGAACAGTAATATAGATACATATTTACTGCTGTGATCATTGCTTGTAACTAAAAACTCTTCATCTATTAAAACATGTGTGTGTGTGTGTGTGTGTGGGTGTGTGTGTGTGTGTGTGTGTGTGTGTGTGTGTGTGTGTGTGTGTGTGCTGGCTGAGTGATTGAGTCAGTAAAACTGAAAACAAGCGTTTGGAGCCCCTAAGATCACTAAATGAGATCTTATCAATAAACTCATGTGTTTGTTTACATGAGAGCTAGTGGCTAGGCTAAAGCATATACATACAGCTCTAGTTGGGAGCTATGTCTCCTAACTTACTGAATAGCTGTATGATTCAATTTTCCTTTCTGTAAATGTAAATGACCATGATAGCTGTGAACATTTGTAATGCAAAGAAAAAGAACAATTCCAAATCATTTTATATCCATGGTTATTCTGTAACTATTTATTAAGTGGACACATTAAACACAGAACACTAGGAATGGTAATGCATATATACTTTGAGAGTTAACAACATAATAAAGATGAGAATTTTGGAACATTCAATAGAATACAAAAAATAGCATATTCAAGGTAATTACAATTTAATAAAGTTACTGTGAATTGCTGTACTTTCTGTTAACTCTAAAAGTGCTGTATATGTGGTAAGCAGACATCTTTTAATTTATTTCCAGTGACCTTTGCTGTACTTTTAGGTGGATGATGACAGAATGGACCACGTGTTCACGGACATGTGGGAAAGGAGTGCAGAGCAGACAAGTGGCCTGTACCCAGCAACTGAACAATGGAACATTGATTAGAGCCTGGGAGAGGGATTGCGTGGGGCCAAAGCCCGCTACTGCCCAACGGTGTGAGGGCCAGGACTGCATGACAGTGTGGGAGGCAGGAGTGTGGTCTGAGGTAGGGGACACATCCTATTTCTTTCCCTTTGCCCTTCTCTGGCCCTGCACTCCTACAAAATCTTGTTGTGTCCTGCCCAAGTCACTGTGCATGACAATTGATATGGAAAATCACTGATTTTGCTAATAAAAAGGCAGATAGCTAATTTTGAAAGTATAAAATGCAAAGATATTGACATGACCCACAGACCATTTATTTCATGTACATTTTAGACTTAGGATTTTTCTCATGTATATATTGTGTGTACTGCTGGAGATGCACACAATAAAAGTTATATGACTCCTCGCATGTCTCTGAACATTAAAAAGGAGAAAGAAACTAACATTTAGCAATCATTTTATATGTGCAAGCAATGAGAGTTTACTTCTTATTTGTTTAAGTATTTATATATAAGCATAAATGTAAGAAACTTAATCATTCACTGTTTTGGGGGGGCAATATAACATGGAGGAATTGATTCATTCAAAAACACTACATAAACAATGTAGCTGCAGTTTAGACCAGGATAAGCTCACTACACCACACAGTCTTGCAAGCTTGTAGTGTGCCACATACAAGTGTGTTCTATGCAAACCCACAATGACAAACTCACGTTATCATTACACATACCCTCATGTAATTATATATGCCACTGATTTCATACATTCGGTGACTTCTCTGAAGCAGTTTAGGGGTGTAAGTGCATGGAGCCCTACAAACACACTGAAATGATACTGTGCAAAGTCCACCCCCACATAGACACACAGAAAATTATCTGTGTACATTATTTGATAGTAGTGTATGTGAGATAAAATGATAAATTGACATGGTTGTTTAGAAAACTAGCTGCCCTTTTAAAACATAGGGGAAATGATAGACACTATTAAAGGCATGCCTTAATCTATAGTCTGTACTGATTCTATTCAAACTTTTAATATTATCTTCCAGTGATCAGTGAAGTGTGGCAAAGGCGTGCGGCATAGGACTGTGAGGTGCACTAACCCAAGAAAGAAGTGTGTCCTCTCCACCAGACCCAGGGAGGCAGAGGACTGTGAAGACTACTCAAAATGCTATGTATGGCGAGTAGGTGACTGGTCTAAGGTGAGAATGATTTGTGTTGAGTGTAGGAGGCATAGAGGGTAGAGGCAGACATCAAACAGGTAGAGAGTTTCATGCCCAGCTTTAACTCCTGTCTGTGTCTCTGAGATTATGATCTCTAGGGAATGATGTTAATGATTGAGATAAAAATAGATACATAGAAAGTATGTAACATCATAGTTGGCATGAAAAATATCTTTAAAAATAGTGAACATTATTTTGTTGCTACATGTATGATTATAGTACTTTTTCAGAATATAAATAAATATAATATATATAAATATAAATAACACTATAAATGAGCAAATTCAAACTAAAATTTTTCATATGTGAAACATATGTGACCCATGTGGAGGCTCATATAAGATTAGGCTGTGGAATACACCTAATAAATTCCCCTCATGGAACAC